TTCTAAGTTCAATTTCATTATGTTGCTTACTATTGCTTTAAAGAACGTTTGTTTTCCCTATCCTTTCGTTGTTAGCCAACTCCCCAAGCCCCGTTACAACCCTTGACTTTAATCTTGAGTGTTGTGTGTTTCAATTTGTGGAGTTTGAATTTGGTTTGAGCATATGGTGTCACTGGTTCTCGCATCTAAGTAGTAGCGTTCCATTCATGAGATCATATCTAAACATGTTATTAACTCCGGAAATTGCGTTCTTTGTTATACATATATGTGAGCATTCGTTTTTATATTTACATCAATCTTCTCACATATAACTAAGTGTAGGGTGTGTAGTTAGAAAATCTGAGTGAAAATAGAGTGCATATCTTGTAAGGAATTGAGGAAATTCTCTAAGGCATGTTACTACATTCAAAACATCGTTTTAATTGATTAATTGCGAACTAGTGAATGGTGACTATGATTAAGTACGTGCTTGAGGGGAAGGAAGACTAAAAGCTATGTGAGTAATGATCTTTGTCATGTCATGTTTCATTGGAAATCCCTGAGGCAAATGTTGGAAGGTTTAGGTTATGTTTCGTTTGTTTTGTTTCGTCTTGTTTACTTTAGTTGTTTTGTTTTGCTCGAGGACTAGCAAAAGTTAAGTGTGGGGGAATTTGATAGGAGCATATTCATGCGACTTAATTAGCTTGTTCTCGTGCATTTATGTTGTGTTTACTTAGTTATTTTAGTGTTTAAGGCCACTTTTGTGTATTTTCAGATTATAAGGCCACAATGTGCAAGAAGATGCAAATTGGAGTCTTTTGGAGCGAAAGAGGAATGAACGAGTTGAAGACTTGAAGAAACGATGAATTCCTACCAAAACGAGAATTCCTACTTGAAGTAGGAAAGTTAACCCTAGGTTTCCCGTTTTGGTAACCTTTCCTAAACTTAAACATCCGTATTTTCTAGCCACTTTGAAGGCCTTGTAAGCACTTTAGGACACAAAACCAAGGCCCTAGCCCAATTACACAACCTTGTCGTGCCTTAACCCTAATTCCCTTCCCTTGCCGTGCAAGGGGGGGCACTTTTGTCCAATGTTGTGCAATTAAACCCTATTTCCCTCTCCTAACCTAACCCTAGCCGCACCTTTTAATTATTCCCTCTTTAATTTCTGATTTTATTTCCTAAATTCTAGCAGCCTTTAGGTGAATTTTAGTTAATAAAAATAAACTAGGGTTTAAATTTCTAAAACCCTAGGGTTTCCACCAATTAGCCGCACCTTAGGGACCTCTTATTATTTCTTTTTCAGATTTTTCAGCGAGAAGAACCTAACAGCCGCAGCACCATATCCCATTTATTCATATTTTTCAATCAGCCATTGTCCCTAATCACCCTATTTTCCCCATGCAGCCGCACCATATTCATTGATTCTTCTTATTTTTCAGCCACAATTTACATCACAGCCGCAACCACCCTTCCATATTTTCCCTGCAATCCGTGCCTACCACATCAATTCCAGCATTCTCCCATAAGCCGCAGCCACCACATCAATTCCAGCATTCCCCCATCCTTGCCGCAACCACCATATCCCTTCCAGCCACCTTCCACACCTCCATACACCTCCCTACTACCTTGCCGCACCACCAAACTTCCCTAAATCCATCCCCAACCCAAAATAACATCCAGAAATTCCCTAAACCATCTCTGCCGCAGCAAGGAAAGGAGAAAGAGGAGCTTGGACGCGCAGAAATTCAAGTGGATTCGTTGTGCGTTCTAGGTGTAATCAATCTTTTGTTCGTTATGTTTAAACTCAATTTTATTTCTCTTTCTGTGAACATGAGAGGCTAAACCCCTAGTTAGCTAGGGGGTGATTCGAAACCATGTTTATGCTTGCAATATGATTTGATTACTTTTGGCTGGAATTTTATGTATTGTGGATTCAATTTGTTTAACTGCTTGATTGATAACTTATTTGTGTATGTTTATTGAGAGTGCACGCTTAATTTTCATGCATGAATATGACGCTAGAATATAAGTGAATTTCACCTAATAGTTATGAACTTATATTCACAAGTAGTGGAGGTTGCTTATAAACAATCGCGTTAAATGAATTCTTGGCACTAGTTTCATGCTCATCATAGTAACGAATGCCTCGTCAACACTTATGATTTCCAAAGAACATAATGATTCTAACTTGTATCTTTATCATGCTGTTCATATAGAGAACTTGTTAGGAATAATTTGTTTGCGATGCATATTCATCCAATGCAATGATTCTAGGGAAATCTGACGGTTAATTTAAGCGGACCTAATTAACCCGGAGTGTTGAGTTTCATAATTCATCGAAAGACCAACTGAAAATCATCTTGTATGCAAGTGTGACATGTGTGGAGAAGAACCTTCTAGCTAGCATTCATCCATATTTTCATCACATTCATATTTACATTCTGCCTTTTAATTGCAATCTGTGCATTTAGTTTAATTTCGTCAAAACCTCAATCCCCCTTTACTTTAGTGTCCAATTTAGTTAGAAAGTGTCTTAGTTTGTGTTTATAAGTGTTTTGCATTCTTTGAGTCTTTTGATTTGTTTAAGTGTTTTATTGTTTAGTTTGCATTCTTTGAGTCTAGTTTAGTGTTTTTAACGTTTGTTTTACATTTTTGAGTCAATTTCCAAGTGATTTAGTAATCCCTCCTAATCCCCCGTCTAGAACGATCCCTACTTGCATCTTTACTACAATTGTCAAAAGAGGGTTTTAATTTGTGTGCTTATTTAGTTCGCATCAACCCTCCACAATCACATGATTCAAGTTCCTCCTCCTAGCCCAGATCAACGCTTCCCGTAAAGCTAGAGTCTCGACAACGTTGATGGTCACAGAACCTAGGTTCATTGCCCCTGCTAAGATATGTTTGTTCTCCCAACTTCTAACCACGAATCCCCCTGCTACCACAAAGTTTGCAACCGAGCCATCATAATTTATTTTAAAATGAGAAGACATTGGGCATTGCCACTTAATCAAATTGTCTTTAGCAACTGCATCCGCTTTCTCTGCATGACTTGAATTCTCCTTAAAGTAATTATTAACCATATTCATGGCACGAGTAAAAGATCTATAATGAAAAGGCTTCTCATTCTTAAAAATACTAGCATTTCTGTCATTCCAAATTTGCCAGCAGATAGCTAGAGCTTTACTTAAACTATTCATTATCCTCTTATCATTGTGTGGTAAGCCACACAACCATTCACTAACTGTGAGGCTACTATCAATATTTAATAATAAAGCATCATTTGAGTAGTTCTATACCTGTTTCGCATATGAGCAATGGAGAAAAAAGTGATCCTGACCTCCTCATGGCTATTACACAAAGGACATATGCTGTCCAAAGTTGTTGTAAACTTGCTAAGCCTCTTTCTAGTTTGTAATTTCTCCTTTACAAGACTCCAGGCTAACAGCTTAATCTTTGGAGGAATTGCTTACTTCCAGATCTTATTCATAAGCCTTTACGTTAAAGAGGAACCCAAATCCTCCATTTGTAGCCATGTTGCAGATTTAACTGAGAACTTGCCATTGTTACTTAGGCCCCAAACAACAGTGTATTTTGAGCTAGCGAGAGAGATAGGGATTTCACATATTTTGCTAATAATGTCACTATAGGGGGTGAGGAAAAACCCAGTTATGGGTCAAGAACAAAATGTCCTTGCCATCACCGACTACTCATCTCATACGCTTGGAGATGATATCCTTGGCACCCTGAATGCCTTTCCAAGGAGATGAATGGTTTTTTTGGTTCTGTTTTTACATTAGTTTTATATTTGGATTTAAACACTGCAATGCAGTGTCCATTTCTTGGTTCTGTTTTCTTTTTTACATTTTGATACACGTTTCTTGGTTCTGTTTTTATAGTACTTTTACATTTGGATTTAGAACTACATTATAGTGTCCATTTCCTGATTCTGTTTTTTGTTTTGTTGACATTTTGATTCAGGACAATGTAACACAATGTTCATTTCCTGGGTTCTTTTTTTTTTTTTTTATTTTTTTATTTTTTTTTTTTTTTTATGCAGTATTTGATTTGGGCTTTAATTAAAACATGTCGAAATCCAATCTGTCTTTTGTCCTCCATTCCAAACCTCTGACCCAACAAAAATAAACTTGCACCATCCAAAAACAAGGCCTAAATTGAAAATAAACTGATTTGAATTTTTATATTCTTTCTCCTTCCTCTGTCGCTTCTCATTTCTATTATGAACTCGATTGACAACCGTTTGTCCAGCGAAGAATCGATGAGATTAGCCATGGATTGATGATATTGAGTGGTTGATTGATGAGATATAATAGTCGACAGACAAATTTAGTGGCAACGATGATATTTTTGTGCCCAGTGCAACAACTAAAGAGATTTTTATCACTAGGCTTTTAGGTACGGATTCATAGCTTGTATTGATTCATCAACGACAGAAAGAGAAGAGAGGCATTCGAGTTATCTTCATGTGTTGGAGAAAGAGGATTTTTGGGAAAAATAATCATGGACCTTTTTATGATTTAAATTGGAGCAAAAAAGTAATTTTATGACTGTTTATATGGGCTTGAAGCCCATTTAACTTTTCTTATTGACCTATGCTTAATTAATAAAAATATTTCATTGATTATGTCTAAAATAAAAATTGACTATAGATATGTGGTTCATTCGTAAAGTTTTTCCTGATATTTTGCCAAATTTCCTAAACAAGGTATTGCAAAACGGGAAGGAGAGCTGAAAATGTAAAACGTTGAACGCGAGAAGGTTTATTGGCTGAGAAAAAGTTGAAAAGTACATCGAAAGGCAAAACGTGTAAACGCAATACACTCCCACATTCATCACGAGCCCATCTGACAGCTAACCTAACCTTACACCCACAGGTCCACATTCCCAGATCATCGGAACATTAAAAATCATTTTTTATTTTTATTTTGGTTTTAATTTTAATCGGACTAACAATTTATGTCATCCACAACCTTCATCATCTCCTCTTCTTCTTCCTAGGGCTATTCATTCCCAAAAGAGGGCCTCCCCCGCTCTCTCTCTCCACCTCTCTCTCTCTCTCTCTCTAACCTTTTCCCTGTAGTATTATATACCATGTAGGTTAGAAGAATCAGAATAATTCTCCAGCATCTACATAATCATAGATATACAACATATACAATTTCTTCATTTTTTCAGGCAGCGTAGAAATTAAGCTAGATCACTAGAACATATTTTTCAATTCTATCACCATAACTTCAGTCATCATCATGGACGGTCATGATCAGCTACTCTCCGACGATCTTACCGATTTATCCACCCTGCAACATCACCATCAGGTACTTCTTCTTCCGGCCAGATCTAACTTCGTTTTCCGATCCTTTTATTTTTATCGTAACCCAGATGCTTTACCTAGAAACTGAAAAGGGTCAATGAAAATTTTATTGGGGTAAAATTGGGATTTCTGAAATTTATGTCCTTGTGTGTTTTCTTGCATTTTCTAGGCTACCAAACGCTAATATTTTTGAAATTGGTTGTCTGATTGGAAAGATTGGTTAATGTTTCCAGTTTGTTTGGATTCTGGGGTTTTGTTAAATTTGTTAATTTTGGGGATGATCAAAATTTTCAGGCGGAATTGCGGAGGGAAGAGGAAAATATTGAAAAGAAATGTGGGAATCATGGTGGGGTGTGCGCAATATGCTTGGATGAGATTGTGCTTCAAGAAACTGCTATGGTAAAAGGTTGCGAGCATGCCTACTGGTTTGTCTAATCAGTCTCTTTATCCTTCTATTTACACTTCTGCTTTTTTCGGAATATAAAGTATTGCTCTGCTGCATTTTTCTTGGTACCATAGATGTGGTTTGTGCATTTGATGCCGGAACTGTTTTGTGTATTTTTAATGTTGCTTTAGTCGTTTACTCATTTGGTATTGGTTTTGTACAACTTCCATGGTAACTCGTTTAGCCTCATTGGCAATATGCGTATGAACGTATCCCTTAATTCACTTTTCTTAAAAGTGCTACTCGTTGGCTTGTTTTTGTCTGGGGTTGTACTGTATGCTCACCAGGCTTCTGACATTTCAAAGTTCAGTGGTGGCATAAACATTTCATACAATGATTTGTTATCTCAAGTCTTGTTAAAGGCGTTTCCTTGGACCACTTGTGAGCTGAGACAACGCAGCGAAATCAATTAGCACCTGTTGTACTGTGGGGCAAGGTTAAAAGCCATGTGTTTAAGGTGCATGCCAATACAAGTTTGTAGTTTAGCGTGTAAAAAGACAGAAGATGCCTACATATAAAGTTTCCTTTAATTCTGGTTGGGTATGTATGTATAGCACTTTGGTATAATTTCCTGAAATAGTAGATCATAGTGATGTATTGATTAGAAGGTGGGAGATCATAACAGTTTTGAACCAATGAAATAAGTGTTTTAGATGTTTTATAGACATTAGATCAGAAAATTAGTGGATGTAAATTTACTGCTATCATTGGCATATGCATGAGTAAGCTTGATATGCTGTAAAGACCTTCGAGATTTAATGTTCAAATTTTCTCATCTATTGATGATTTTATTAATGAAGATCACTTTCCTCTATAGAAAATTTATAGGCTTGTTATCATGTTCTGAATGGATTTTATAATTGTCTTGACATATTTGTCATTTTCCTTTTTGGTTTAAAGGATGGTGTGTTTCTTATATGCTAATGCACACACATCACTGTTCGAAGTAACTACATAAATTCCATAGATTTTGTGTTGCATTTTGAGACCAGACTCTTAACTTTTACTGATCAGGTTGCTTTTTCTTTGTAAAATTTTTAGAAGAGGTATGTTAGTCCCGTATCACTTAATGAAAAACAATTTGTTTGCTTCATGTCATAACCATTTTGTTTTTAGGTTTTGTTGTTTTCAGTTTTCGTAATAAAGATAAGAGGGAGGAAAGAGAATAGAGGAGGGACAAATGAAGTAGGAAGTATGAAACAATAAACTAGATAAGAAAGCTTACTAAAAATCATATTCAGATTTTAGTTGTTTCTCTGTGTACTGTTCTAGATCCGTCCGTTCACTTTCTTACCACACTCCTCCACCTTTGCTCATCCATCTTCTCCCTTGCATTTCCCCTCTATTTCTAACAAAAAAGTGAAAACTAAAACTAAAAATGAAAAATGAAATGGTTATCTAACAGGAACTTAGTTTTCTGTGATTGCATGTTTCTATGTTAGCAAGATATGCTATTGGGGTTTGCTGTCTGCGTTTATAAGCTATAATGGTCCTTCTATCTAGGTGGTAGTCGAAAATGATATTGAGACTGAGTGCCCGTATGAGTAGTGAATCTTTTAACTTATGCCAACCTTCTTTCAGCCCTTTCTTTTTTTTTTTTTTTTTTTTTTCCAGTTCTTGATATGGTAGATTATCTCTTTCCCCTGCTTTTATAAGTTTCTCTTTTTCACAAGAAGGATAAGAATCTGGTATTTATTTGCTTTATATGTTTCTTTGTTCTTTATTTTTCTTTTATTTGAGTTCTCTTGCTCTCTAATCTCTGAATGTTTACTTTTCTGTAAATGCCGACGTTTGAGAACTCAGAACGCTAGATATACTCTGCACTATTTTGGAGTTATGGAAAGACAGGCTTTAGTTAAACGAGTAGTCTTTTCTTGTATACTGTCTCACATGAAAAATAAAATAGGAAGAAAGCTTCACGGAGTCTGTTTATTTATTTTTAAATCTGGGCTGTCGGATTCATGATTTTTCATTTTCCCTGTGTGCAGTGCAACCTGTATTCTTCGTTGGGTGACATACAGCCAAAAACCCACCTGCCCTCAGTGTAAACATCCTTTTGAATTCCTGAACGTCCATCGTTCCCTTGATGGCAGGTATCTAAAGTCTTCTTGTTTCTCTTTATGTGCATATTTAGAAAGGGAGAAACATGGTTATGAATTAGGAGAGAACCTCCCGGTAGGATGCTGTTTTAGACATTCCTAAGAAAAGAAAGCATATCTTCATTTTCGTGCCTTGACAGCATACAAGATTACATGTTCGAGGAGAGTGTGTGCCTACTCCTTAGAGCCAAATGGTTTGAGCCGTTAGTTGTGGAGGAGCGTGAAGAGGTGTATGAAGGCCATGAAGATTATTATTATTATCCCTACGAGGATGAAGATGAGGATGATCTAGATGACGCTTACTTCAGCAGTTCATCGGTTATCCGGATTGGTAATCGAAGATGGGGTGATAATGGATATGTGAGGAGTGGGCGTCAAGAAGCAAGGCCTGTTCACAGATCAAGTACCCAGGATTCGGGTGCTAGTTCATCTCGTGAGCCTAGGAAGAAAGAGGCTGCAATGGATAAGACCGGGAGGCGTGCAAAGCGGGCACTCAAACGGGAAGCGGCTGATAAGGCAGCTGCAGCAAAACATCAGCAGCATTTGGCAAGGTTGGGCCGGAAGTAATTTCATTTATGCAATTGCATTATATTGCAGATCTTAAACCCCTCACCCCCATCTCATGTACATTACTCCCCTGACCTTTTTCTTTTGGGTTACGACTCTTTTCCGTCGACCGTGTTAAATAATGTACCATCAAAGGGAAGAAAAAAGGGAAAAAAAAAAAGAAAAAAAAAACACCACCAGAGGACGCTGGGAAATAATGACTGGCTTCTCGGTTTGTATCTTTAGAAATTCTTCAGATTACATTTACCGGAAAAAAAAAAAAAATTTCACATATGTACATTCTCAATTCTTCATGGCATAAACTAAACGCAGTGGCGTTTTTTGGATTTATACAGCCAACCTAGTTTAGTGGGATAAGGTTTTATTATTTGTTTGTACGTTCTCATTCTTCTTGATTTCAAGTCGGCTTTTGATTGTCTTCCTGTTACCTCTCCTTCTAGCACGTGATATTTTCAGTAGAAATATATAAGGTTCAGAAATTATATGATCTGTATGGTCTAAAAGATATAAAAATTTGAGTTTTTATCACAATTGATCCTTGAATTGCCACGGAGAGGCTCTAAGGTCTTTAAAATGAAAATTTGACCAAAGTCATTCTTGGAGCACCAGCGGCATCGATGGCATTCTTCCACTAGAATTTCGCTAAATATTGTTTTGGGTTATAAATCGGCTCAATGCAATTTGAGTTCGAGTTTGTAAGAAAAATGAGCCGAGCTTGAGCTAAATATTAGACTTGTTAGTAGAAGTATCAAACTTTATACTTTGATTAGTCGGGGTGGGGTGGGTTGAAGAAATTGAAAATCGAAAAAAATCGAATCAAGTTGAAAAATCAAAGTGAACTGAAATCATTTGGTTAGGTTTTGTAGTGGGTCAGAAATTGAACTGAATTGAACCGAATACATATTCATTTTATTATTTAGTTATTTATGTTGGGTTTTTATTTGTTAAACCCAATTTCAAGACTAATTTATAAACCCAATTTTTTTGTTTTGTTTTGAAGAGTACAATATTTCATTCATGGATAAAAGGGCATTACATATACATATCATGAAGAACTCAGTCCCAAAAGGATCCTTACAAACTAGATCTAAAATATTACAATAAAACAACACTAATCGCAGAGCAACAAGTAGAATTCAATCACTTGTCTGATGTCATCGAGAACTGCACGATTACCCAGATCAATAGAATTATTAAACTTTGTGTTACAAAGAGATTATGTGAGAACAAAAATCTTAAACCATAAATTGGGATAGAGAGTACGATGCCCATGGGTCTATTGTAATACCGAACCACTGCCATGATCCCAAGACAACAAATAAAGTAGATCCAACAAATTAAACAGCTCTACCCTTCACACATAGATCCAAAAGGCCTAGTGATGCGATAATTATACGCGCACAAATTAAACCCTCTTTTCGTCAATTGTAGTAAGTATGTAAGTAGGGATCGTTCTGGACCGGGGATTAGGAGGGATTGCTAAAACCTTGGAAACTGACTCAAAAACGTAAAAACAAGATAAAACACTAAACTAGACTCAAAGAATGTGAAACTAAACGTTAAAACACTAAGACAAACCAAAAGACTCAAAATGCTTTAAAAACACAAACTAAATTGATTTCTAACTAAATTGAACAATAAAGTAAAGGGGGATTGGATTTGGACGACTTTAAACTAAAAATGGAAACTTGGAAATAAAACAAATTGTAATTATGGATTTGACGGAAATGAATGGATGGGAAGCTAGCTAAGGGGTTCATCTCCACATATGTTATACTTGCATACAAAACGATGTCTAATTGCTTTTCAATAAACCATGAATTCTCAACGCCCCGGGTTAATTAGGTCCGCTTAAATTAACCGTCAAGTTTTCCTTAAATTAATGAATTGGATGATTGCATACAACAATCCAAAGCATTCCTCACAAGTTCCCTACATGAATTGCATAATAGAGATACAAGCAAGAATCATTAAGCATCATGAAAACTATAAGTGTTGACGAGACATTCGTTACTATGATTGCATGAAACTTATGCCAAGAATATGTTTAACACGATTGTTTATAAGCAACCTCCACTACTTGTGAATATAAGTTCATAACTATTACGTGAAACTCACTTATATTCTAGCGTCAAATTCATGCATGAAAATTAAGCGTTCATTCTTAATAAACATACATAAATAGGTTATCAATTAAACAGTTAAACAAATTGAATTCACAACTTATGAAACGTAATTAAAAGTAATCAAATCATATTACAAACATAAACATAGTTTCGAATCACCCCCTAGCTAAAGGGGGTTTAGTTCCTCATAACTTTGAAATCAAAGAAACACCTAAACATTCCAACAACTCAAAACTTGAATTGTATGAACGTTTAAGCACCCTTCTCTTCCATTCCTTATACGTACAAAACAAAGAGAATTAAAATGAAACTTTGAAATCAAAGAAACACCTAAACATTCCAACAACTCAAAACTTGAATTGTATGAACGTTTAGGCACTCTTCTCTTCCTCGTTGTTGTAGCACAAGGTTTAAGGATAGGTTGGTTGATGGGATGGAAGTGTGGAATGGAGTGGAAATGGAGAAGATGGAGAAGGGGAAGTGTTTGTGTATTACAATGGAAAATGAGATGATTTGGTGAATGGAATGAATGGGTATTTATAGGAAGAGAATGGGTGTTAATGGATGTTTGTTTAAGGTATTTGGTGGAAGGGAAAAGGTGTGGATGGTGGGAATTATGGTGGATGGATGGTTTAGTGGATGTAGTTTAGGGTTTATTTAGGTGAATGTGGATGCATGGTTTAGTGGATGTAAAGGATAATGGGATGGTGTGGAATTAACAGCTAAAAAAATGGGATAATGGGCATTTAAGTGTGAATGGAATGGTGGGATGCACTAATGGAAATTATGGAATGGAATGGTGGGATGCACTAATTAGGAGGAAGAATTAGGGTGAAGGGCTTAATGCATGGATTTTGGGCCTAAAATGCCCCCCCTTGCATGGCAAGGGAAAGGACTTGGGCTAAAGCCCACGGCAATGGCTCTAAAATGGGCTAAGGTTAGGGTCCACAAAGAGTTAGGGTTTAGGTCATCTAAAAGCCCAAAGCCAAGAATAGAAACTCACGACAATGGAAACCTCCAAGAATAGAAACTTCCAACTTTAGAAACTTTGGTTGCCAATTCCGACTTCTTTGCTCTTCACTTTCATTTCTTCATTTCTTGAACTCCTTTGACCTTCAACCACGTTCATTCCTCGTGCTCCATTTACATACACCACATTCCAGCTCAGTTTTGCTCCAAAAGCTCCAAATTGCATCATTTCATGTAATATGTCCTTTAAACCTGAAAACACATGAAAGTAGCTTAAAAGACTACTTTAAGGAAGAAAACATAACAAAAATGCATAAGAACTAGCTAACTAAGGCGCATAAATATGCTTCTATCAAATTCCCCCACACTTAGCTTTTGCTAGTCCTCGAGCAAAACAAAACAACTAAAGTAAACAAGCTGAAACAAAATAAACAAAACATAACCTAAACCTTCCAACGGTTGCCTCAGGGATTTCCAATGAAACATGACATGTCAAAAATCATTACTCACATAGCTTTTAGTCTTACTTCCCCTCAAGCACATACTTAATCATAGTCACCATTCACTAGTTCGCATTTAATCAATTAAAACACATTTTGCATGTAGTAACATGCCTTAGAGAATTCCCTCAATTCCTCACTAGTTATGCACTCAATTTTCACTCAGATTTTCTGACTACACACCCTACACTAGTTATATGTGAGAAGATTGATGTAAACATGAAAGACTAGTACTCACATAGGTTATAACAAAGAATGCACTTTCTGGAGTAATTAAACGTGTTTAGATATGATCTCATGAATGAAATGCTACTACTTAGATGCGAGAACCAGTGACACCATATGCTCATACCAAATTCAAACTCCACAATTGAAATGCACAACACTCAAGATAGAAGTAGAGGGTTGTAACGGGGCTTGGGGTGTTGCCTAACAAGGAAAGGTAGGGATAAACAAAAGTTCTTTCAGCAATAATAAGTAAAGTAATGAAATTAAGACCTAGAATTCCCTTAGAATTCAGAAATCAACTTTTAAACAAATAGGGGAAACACAAACAACTCTTAGGGCCTAATTCATTGTTTTGGGCCCTTACTTCAACAACCAATACTTTGGAACTCTTTTTCACTTCTTTTCAACTCTTTTTCATTTTTTCTTTTCTTTTCTTCTTTTTTTTTTTTTTTTTTTTTTTACTCGTGCCTATGGCACATAACTCACATCAACAATCCTTCCCCCACACTTATTTTCTGCACACATTAATCAAAGGGAATTCATTCATGCTTACTATGCTTCAAGAACAAGGGTACGGATGGTTCTAATCTAAGCTAGGTGAAGATAATGTGGGTTAACAAAGAAAGTAGGCTACACAAGGCTCAACGGGGTTAAATCCTACAAAACAAATGAAAAGGGAAATATGGCAATTTGGCTATGGTGTTCACTACACAACTTCATCTTGAATACGTGTTATGCAAATCAATGACATGCTTTGAATGAAATGGGCATGAGTTCTAGCATTTGGAACTAAGTGATGAAACGCCTTCTAAGTAGTAACCAAGCAAAGAATAATGAGATCATGCAACGACTTAGAAAACAATGATGCACAGATTTTAACTCTCCAAATAAACGTTTAAGCTCAAGTCTCACAGGGATGTAGTGTTAGTTTGAGCTCATTCCTTCAAGCATGTTATAAAAACTAATTTTTTTCTTTGTGATTGCATGTGAGTTCGTGAACTATAACTACAACCAAGCATAAACCAAAGAGTATATCAAACGTCCATCCATGTTTGTAACTTTCTTTAACCGTCATGCAATTAAAAACCAAATCCTCATCATTGTGTTGGAAGGTAACCTACGACACAAACACACAAAAACAACTCTTTTTGGGTTTTTCAAAACAATTTTTCAAATTTTTATGGGATTTTCGAATTTTTAAGTCAAAACACATTAAAACAGTTTAAAAACATTTTAAAACAACAAGGATCAATACTTGAAGTTATGGGTGATAAAATCCAACAAATTTGCATCAACATACTTAGTTACCCCCCCTACACTTAAATCAAACATTGTCCTCAATGTTTTAAGCTTAAAACACATTAAAACAAAAGAAAACATATAAAACAGCAACTAAACATACTAAACATGGCAGAATGTATCTAACAAAGAGAAGAGTTTTAGAGATGCAAATCTGGTTATGGAGTGTAAATTCCATCTTCTCCTTGGTGATTGCAGTGAGGCTTCATCTTGAGTGATTCCACAGGCTTACTTTTGAAATGCGC